ATACCCAACCACCAAACACTTTATATATTAAGAAATACGTGGTTTAAAAAAGATACGGTCCGTGAACTTTCTCAAAGTGAAGTACTTACTTACACAGCTGCTTTTCTGTTTACTACCACGTAACAAATACTGGAACATAAATATTTCGCTTTCAATTGTTGTGAATGGTATGTGCCGGTAAGTAGAAATGTACATTTTATTCATGGTCTGTAGTTCAGATTCCTAGTAGTTGTAACGGGTCATGTTGAACAAAGATGTTTAGATAGTTTCTTAAATGCATAGGACGAAATCTTACTAGGCCAGAGTTGAAAGAGGTCTGAACGCCATAAAAACAATTGGCTGATAAAACAATGAAGGACGAGATGTGTGAAGCCACGATGTGTTGGGGGAATAGACCCATGGGTGAAGGCTTACTACGTGTAACACTTAAATAATAGTTAAGTAGTTGTCAGTTAATCACACTGATTCTAAATCTACATCAAGGCTGACTATAACATTAAATAAATTTTTCTAAAAATCTCAATTTGTCGACACATTTGTCAAAAACCAGATGCGAAGTTGCACTACCCCCAAAATTTAATAAATTTCATAGTTTTAACGTGAAATGATCGAAAAAAGCCAGGTAAATGTTTATATCATGAATCGTATCGCTATTCTATTGATGTAGGAAGGCGGATGGACACATAGTACGATAGACATTTATAGGCAAACCTGTATCTGCCGCCCTGAAGATATTTGATAGGAAGGAGGAGATCGTATTCTCATTAGTTATTTATTTAATTCGTGTCTATTGAAGAATTCTTTATCTTTTTGATATGAATTGTCACAATGAGGCCTATAATCTGATTTAATTGTTTATCTTTCTGAGGTTGTTATATCCTTAGCAATTGTTACACATGTCTAGTTTTTTATCATATCCTTAGCAATTGTTACACATGTCTAGCGTTTTGGATACAAATACGAAGATAAATCTAAGATTTATTTTTCACCAATGGTTGCAAAAACTTTATGAGAAACTTAATTCGTTTACACTTGTCACAAATGTATTATTTCTTCTCAATGAATGGAGATATCCAGCGCGTTCGTTTATCAGTATCGAAGGAAATAGAAGCTCATACAAAATTCGGTGTATGTTCTTTTAACAATATGTAACACTCATGTACACTATTGTAAATCGTTTTATTTCCCAATGTATTATACGAAGCTGCCAACCCTTGTAGACAGATATATCTGTTTTCCTGAAAAAAAATTCATATCAATCATGAAATCCTGATAACGGCATTATAAGAAACGTGCAATGTTTGGTTTCATAGAAACGATAAACATGTACTGTGTTGTAAAATATATAAATCAACCAGAGTCTTCAAAACATTAATTCCATAGTGAAAGGAGCTTACAGAACTCACAATACAGGTTTTCGAATGTGAAAACCTTTTACAGATGTGTTTATAGGACTTGATTTACTGTAGTATACAAAATGGGAATCACAGACTTAACCTCCGTCGCACGATAAACTGTGGACTTCACTACTAGCTTATCCTTCGTTGTACGATATACTGTGGACCACTGCTATCTTATCCATTGTCACACGATATACTGTTGACATCACTATCCTATCCACTGTCACACGATATACTGTAGACACTACTATCTTATCCACTGTCACACGATATACTGTGGACCACTGCTATCTGATCCACTGTCACACGATATACTGTGGACCACTACTATCTTATCCACTGTCACACGATATCCTGTAGACACTACTATCTCATCCACTGTCACACGATATACTGTGGACATCACTATCTTATCCACTGTCACACGATATACTGTGGACCACTGCTATCTTATGCACTGTCACACGATATACTGTGGACATCACTATCTTATCCTCTGTCACCCGATATACTGTGGACCACTGCTATCTTATCCACTGTCACACGATATAGTGTGGACATCACTACTATCTTATCCACTGTCACACGATATACTGTAGACACTACTATCTTATCCACTGTCACACGATATAGTGTGGACATCACTACTATCTTATCCACTGTCACACGATATACTGTAGACACTACTATCTTATCCTCTGTCACCCGATATACTGTGGACCACTGCTATCTTATCCACTGTCACATGATATAGTGTGGACATCACTACTATCTTATCCACTGTCACACGATATACTGTGGACCACTGCTATCTTATCCACTGTCACATGATATAGTGTGGACATCACTACTATCTTATCCACTGTCACACGATATACTGTAGACACTACTATCTTATCCACTGTCACACGATATACTGTGGACACCACTATCTTATCCACTGTCACACGATATACTGTGGACACCACTATCTTATCCACTGTCACACGATATACTGTGGACACCACTATCTTATCCACTGTCACACGATATACTGTGGACACCACTATCTTATCCACTGTCACACGATATACTGTGGACACCACTATCTTATCCACTGTCACACGATATACTGTGGACACCACTATCTTATCCACTGTCACATGATATAGTGTGGACATCACTACTATCTTATCCACTGTCACACGATATACTGTAGACACTACTATCTTATCCACTGTCACACGATATACTGTGGACACCACTATCTTATCCACTGTCACACGATATACTGTGGACCGCTACTATCTTATCCTCTGTCACACGATATACTGTAGACCGCTACTATCTTATCCTCTGTAACACGATATACTGTAGACACTACTATCTTATCCACTGTCACACGATATACTGTGGGCATCACTATCTTATCCACTGTCACACGATATACTGTGGGCATCACTGTCTTATCCACCGTCGCACGATATACTCTGGTACATCACTGCATTATCTACTGTCCCGTGGGAACTTTTATTTGACATTTGAACATTGAGATCAATATGACAATTGCGGTAATGCAAAACGCACGAAAAACTTTCGTGTGCATATCACATCATGTTTTGGTAAAATTGGTTAGCTAATTTTACGGATTGAAAATTAGACGGAACATTCGTGAAGTTGTTACTAAATAGCGATCACAGGGACATTAAAATGATCGGTGATTATAAAAGTCATTTTAATTCGACAATTTAACACTGGACCTACAATAGGCTGATCGTGTAGAGTTTCATTCCTCAGAAAGAGGCGAGTAGCGGTGCCTTGTGCAAAATGTTTACCTGTTTACGGGTATATACGTGAAGGGTTCGGATCCGAACCGGCTGAGCTGCCCTTGTAACAAACACGACACTAAGGATTTACCACAGCAAATATGTTTTGTTTACCAAATGAATGAAAAATGAAAGTAATACAGAAGTAATGAAAATAAATTTTCCTTTCTTAGGCCGGTCACGTGTGACTCGTAGTGTGTATCTGATATAACTACAAGTGTCTAATCTATATATTAATGACTTAATTAGGAAATAAACTTTGTTGTATTCTTAAATATTTAGAAAATAAATAAACCCTATCCCACACGTATCTATAAGTAATTACTGAATTTATAGCAACCACGATATAATCGCACATCGAGCGCACTAATGTGCGATATCTTATTTCGTCCAATTATCCTATCGTGCGCACATCGTGCATACATCGTGTGATCACACAACTACATGTGACGAGCGATCTGAGCAGAACCACGTGGAAATCTAAACCTACCTAACGTTTACAGATGTAAGTGTCACAGTCGGTTCAACGTTAAACTGAATGACAATCACATTTATATAACGTAAGTGTGTTGCCTTCGATCCGGAAATATCGCACTACTGAAAATCATGTCTGATTTCTGTTATCATTTAGACTGATTTGACCATATCAACATTCAGTTTGGCGTAACAGTGAGAGTATACACAAGTGTATGTGTGTAAGACTTTAACAATTACCTGTGTGGCGTGATGAGAACAGCGATCCTTCTTTAACAACAGGTATAAAGATTGGTGTTTTGTTGTACAGCAGGAGCGAAACTATTCCACAGGTGTTGTTCGCACCACAACTTGTGAATTAATGACTATTGGGAGCAGCAGATACATTTAACTTGGATCTAAATGTGTCATCATTTTTTTTTTTTTTTTCATTTTGTTTGCAATATTTTGTGTCGCGGACAGAATGTCTTCAGTCCATGAGAACGGTTGCCGGAGGCGCAGATCTCATTCAGACCGTGAGACAGTATACGGCTCCCGGATGTTTAACAATTGGTATTGTTATTTGTAAACCGTAGTGTGTGTAACACGCACTTGATTTACAGGAACGTCTGATTCTCCACTGTCTGACGATTTGTCCTTCTTGTGTTATTTCAAGTCATCAAAACGGTATTTATCACATACAGATCTAATGCGGTATGTTTTACATGAGGTGATGACATGTGTATTCAGCTCAATTTATTCATATAATGAAAAGTAATACATGTATATCTGAGTGGAGGATAACCACACAATTAACATTAAACTATATGTTGTTTCTGTACGTCTAACTAAGGACTGATATTGATCGACAGAGAAGCAGTTGGTGTCACTTTTGGACGCACTATTGCCTAGGAGTCGTGATGTTTTGTACAAGGATAATATACATTTGGTAGTAATGTCATGACAGTACGTTCTTCAGTTTGCAATAATCAGCAGACAGACAAGTTTTTATTATTATTTTTTTTTTTTTTGGGGGGGGGGGGGTGTTGTATTGATTTCATGTTCCTTTTAAAAGAAGTGATAACTTGTAACATGGAAACTTGAACAGTTTTGTTTTGTTTTTGTTGTTTCTCCAAATGTGTTCGGCTATCGTGAATGTGTTTACAGGCAGCAAGTGTTGCTAGAGTACCACCTGACGCGACTGTCCGAACGATTATATAACCAGTGTTACACCCGATCTCTACTAATGCGATTCATTGTGTAAAGACCTCACGACCCTTATATGTAATTTGTAAGTATTGTGAGTAAAGAACAATTGTTTGGCTGTTGTAGAAAACACCTGATAGGAAAACATGGAGGATAGAAAACAACATGATACGGCGAAGGTGGATGTACCAGCGGAAGTAGATCCTCCACGACACGGAAAGACATTCTACGGGGTAGAAGACGTCCCTCCCATTCATTTATGCTTCCTCTTTGGACTGCAGGTATGTACTTCCATATGGAACAATTGATCTAACAGGAGATACTTGTGTTTTTACAGTTTACAGTCATGGTCAATGCGAAATCAATGTATCACATCCCTAATACACTGGGTAAATTATACTACAAATTGTGTTCATAAATATCTGTTAAAATTTATGCATATATCTACTGTAATAGATAATCTGTTTTGTATTATTGATATGTGTTTATCCCCTGTACGGACTATATATAAAACAGCCTAGTACATACGCCATGTCAATGTCACGTTGTAATGATCCCTTTATGTGTATTCGAAGTGCTTAAAGATAAAACAAAACCAGCAATCTGCTTATCGGATAGCATTGAATAAATGGACGTAGGAATGTCCGATCTGGTGACAATCTTTATTGTGGAAATACAAGAATAACAAATCTTGAAGATTTCAAACAAATAAATCATATATATACATTAATGATGAAACGCCTCTTGCCAAAAAATGTTGAGAAAGAATGATTAAGACTAGAGAATCTTCATTATTTTTTTCACAAACGAAACATGCCTTAATGTGCCGAAATGCCCCGAATTGGAATGAACCAATCGGGGCTCTATACAATTGCATTATTTTGACATTCTTGCAATGTTCGTTTGACTTTACAGTGTTTGAATGTTTACGAAATTTCGTACAAAATGATGTATAAACAACTTTTGAAAAGCCACGAAGCAGGCAGTTAAAATTCTAAATACACTATACTAGTATATCTGAAGTGCACTTTCTAATAGCGACGTTAATTAAAGTGCAGATACTGTTTTTGTAGCGAACAAAGACGACGCTTTATGAAAAATTTATTTGGATATTTAAAGTGGCGAAAAAGAACTCAACAGAAACCAACAAACCGCATGTATGATTATTTATCCCTGAACAGGTGGGTCGCTGAAACTTTTATCCCTAAATGGACCGAAATATTCTTACGTGTTTCCTGGTTGAAAATATCTTGACCCATCCAAAATCCATACATGCTTTCATACCAAAATTCTTAAATAATTCAAATAAATTTAACAAACTTATATGCAAATCATTTGAAAAAAAATGTTGCTAGAAGTTTGAGCAATATCATCTCTCCGATACTTCACGTAACCTAGATATACTTTTCTCATACACGAAAAGTGACGGAGATTACCGGTTTCTTGAAGAATATCGAAACTGTTTCTGACGAGACACGTGTACCACGTAATATTTTTAATCAGATTAAATTATATTTGAATGTTTCTGATTTGCACCAATCAATGATGATGGCATCAGGAACAACAAATGTTAAATAGCACACCAAAGGGGCAAACAACAATTAAAGAAGTCTTCACATCAAGGCTTGCCCATGTGAGTGTATCCAGGACCTAAATGAGGCGTCAAATCAACAAATACCGATTATCGACTTCAACACTAGATTGTCTTTCGATCATTTTGTGAATGAGTGTAGGACCTAAAACTCTAGATCGTCTACAGCTCATTTTGTGAATGAGTGTAGGACCTAAAACTCTAGATTGTCTTCAGATCATTTTGTGAATGAGTGTAGGACCTAAAACTCTAGATTGTCTTCAGATCATTTTGTGAATGAGTGTAGGACCTAAAACTCTAGATTGTCTTCAGATCATTTTGTGAATGAGTGTAGGACCTAAAACTACAGATTGTCTTCAGATCATTTTGTGAATGAGTGTAGGACCTAAAACTCTAGATTGTCTTCAGATCATTTTGTGAATGAGTGTAGGACCTAAAACTCTAGATTGTCTTCAGATCATTTTGTGAATGAGTGTAGGACCTAAAACTCTAGATTGTCTTCAGATCATTTTGTGAATGAGTGTAGGACCTAAAACTCTAGATTGTCTTCAGATCATTTTGTGAATGAGTGTAGGACCTAAAACTCTAGATTGTCTTCAGATCATTTTGTGAATGAGTGTAGGACCTAAAATACCAGATTGTCTTCAGATCATTTTGTGAATGAGTGTAGGAACTAAAACTCTAGATTGTCTTCAGATCATTTTGTGAATGAGTGTAGGACCTAAAACTCTAGATTGTCTTCAGATCATTTTGTGAATGAGTGTAGGAACTAAAACTCTAGATTGTCTTCAGATCATTTTGTGAATGAGTGTAGGACCTAAAACTCTAGATTGTCTTCAGATCATTTTGTGAATGAGTGTAGGACCTAAAACTCTAGATTGTCTTCAGATCATTTTGTGAATGAGTGTAGGACCTAAAACTACAGATTGTCTTCAGATCATTTTGTGAATGAGTGTAGGACCTAAAACTCTAGATTGTCTTCAGATCATTTTGTGAATGAGTGTAGGACCTAAAACTACAGATTGTCTTCAGATCATTTTGTGAATGAGTGTAGGAACTAAAACTACAGATTGTCTTCAGATCATTTTGTGAATGAGTGTAGGACCTAAAACACCAGATTGTCTTTAGATCATTTTGAGAATGAGTGTAGGAACTAAAACTCTAGATTGTCTTCAGATCATTTTGAGAATGAGTGTAGGACCTAAAACTCTAGATTGTCTTCAGATCATTTTGAGAATGAGTGTAGGAACTAAAACTCTAGATTGTCTTCAGATCATTTTGTGAATGAGTGTAGGACCTAAAACTCTAGATTGTCTTCAGATCATTTTGTGAATGAGTGTAGGACCTAAAACTCTAGATTGTCTTCAGATCATTTTGTGAATGAGTGTAGGACCTAAAACTCTAGATTGTCTTCAGATCATTTTGTGAATGAGTGTAGGACCTAAAACTCTAGATTGTCTTCAGATCATTTTGTGAATGAGTGTAGGACCTAAAATACCAGATTGTCTTCAGATCATTTTGAGAATGAGTGTAGGACCTAAAACTCTAGATTGTATTCAGATCATTTTGAGAATGAGTGTAGGACCTAAAGCTCTAGATTGTCTTCAGATCATTTTGTGAATGAGTGTAGGAACTAAAACTCTAGATTGTCTTCAGATCATTTTGAGAATGAGTGTAGGACCTAAAACTCTAGATTGTCTTCAGATCATTTTGTGAATGAGTGTAGGACCTAAAACTCTAGATTGTCTTCAGATCATTTTGTGAATGAGTGTAGGACCTAAAACACCAGATTGTCTTTAGATCAATTTGTGAATGACTGTAGGACCTCAACCCAGCTTAATATTCATCTTATTGATAACTATGCGTCCGCTTTTAGGCAGTGCTTATTTGATGTTGTTTACGAGAGAAACTGTTCACGAGGATGTAAAATGAAATACAAACTGTGTAGGTCCGATACTTATCTCGATTGATTCAATTAAATATGTTGATATAGTCCCTCAGTAAATGGCGCCGAGGTAGGTCGGAACTTATTTGAAGAAGTGAGGTTGATTGAGAATGGCGATAGTGAACTATTAATAAATACTCATTGTCAATATTATAACCGCAGGAAGCTGTACCTTTCAGGTTTCTTGTCGTCAGTACTGAATAGCGATTTTTATCAAGTGTCACACTGTTTTCAGTCACATGTGTGGTATTGTACGAATGAGGACAAGAATCGAATTCACGAAAACATACAAACTCTCCGTCATTTGCTCAATAAATGTTTAATAAAAATAGAATTTCTCAATATCTGGTTTATATGTTTTTGTGCATATAGATATATCATATACCTATATATCATTTTCAATTTATCTACGATACACAAACGGGAAGTCTGCTTAAACTGACTTCGATGGAATGACTCTTTTACAGCAAGCTATCCTGTGCCTGGGAAGCAGCTTGTCCATTCCTTTCATCATAGCCGGGATGATCTGTGCTGAAAACGAGAGTGACGTGAGAGCTAAACTTCTCAGTATCACAATGTTTATGTGCGGTCTGGCCACTATATTACAATCAACGTTCGGTGTCAGGTGAGAATCCGTTGAAATACGTGTTATACACTATAAATGGTCGTGAAGAGTTGATAAACACTTATTTATCGACATTTAGTACTTGTAACTCCGATTTTCATTTTTACTTGGAAAATATCGATTTTGTTTTAATTGAAATTGTGTTAAAAAGCTAACCGCTACGTAGTTTTGCATTTAACGGGAAGAGAGAACAAATTGTAATGTAGTATGGAACACTGTTATATTGATACACAAATATATTACGTGTGATTCTCTCTTAAAAGATCTTAACCGACTTTCAAAATGATTTTGTTTGTTCTGTGGCAATAGACTGACTGCTAATAATAAAACATGCGACCTGCGTAAGTAGTGTAGAAACATTCGTCGCATATCTTTGACACTGGTCGAAGAATGACCTAGATTTCGGTTTCCTACAATGGTCGATAGATCTGAGGATATAGTGTTGGCGAAGTTGGTAGTATTCTTCATGATCATTACAAGTTTGTGTCCTCGACAAACATCTGAAATATATCGTTTCTATTTTGAATTTGATGTTGTTTTTTGCATTGTAGTATTATGAACCTCGTACCTTCGATATTCTCACTTTCCTGGGTTTCTCGAATTCATTCCAACTGAGATTTTAAATCTTACTTGCCAAAGTTTCAGACGAAAGAACATTGATGTTAACAAAGCCAGACACGAAATGTTTAATGACTTCAAGTTATGATTATGATTGGTGAATCGATAGAGGATATATATCTTTTCAAAACAAATGATACGGAGGAAAACACAGACTACCAATTTCTCAGTATATTTCACAATAAACACTTCATGATGGCTTTATAATTCAGCTATTTCCTAAATCGGGATGTCAATTTTTTGTTTCATTGAAAGACAATATCATTTCAGGAATTAAATTATAAACTATTAAATTGTAACCAACAATATTGACATTGATATGTGTTTTCTATTATAAAACTATGTTAGGTTTTCCATTCTCTCTCGATATTATCGCAGAGGAGATGTTTGACATCGACATGGAAATCGCACTGTGTCATTGATGATAAGAACTTGACGGTAAAGTGTATAAAGTGTCCAACACGATTACTGTACAACTGTACATTTTGTTTTGTAGACTTGGTGTTGTTCAAGGTGGTTCTCACACCTTCATCGCACCTATAGTAGCAATGATGTCGCTCAGTAAATGGAGCTGTAGTAAGGTCTCTGTCGATGGTATGTATATAAAGTGGATTACTAAACCATATCTCTCAGTAATCGGAGCTGTAGTAAGGTCTCTGTCGATGGTATGTATATAAAGTGGATTACTAAACCATATCTCTCAGTAATCGGAGCTGTAGTACGGTCTCTGTCGATGGTATGTATATAAAGTGGATTACTAAACCATATCTCAGTAATCGGAGCTGTAGTAAGGTCTCTGTCGATGGTATGTATATAAAGTGGATTACTAAACCATATCTCTCAGTAATCGGAGCTGTAGTACGGTCTCTGTCGATGGTATGTATATAAAGTGGATTACTAAACCATATCTCTCAGTAATCGGAGCTGTAGTAAGGTCTCTGTCGATGGTATGTATATAAAGTAAATTACTAAATCTTATTTCTCAGTAATTGGAGCTGTAGTAAGGTCTCTCTCGATGGTATGTATATAAAGTGGATTACTAAACCATATCTCTCAGTAAATGGAGAGGCAGTAAGGTCTGTTTCGATGGTACGTATATAAAGTGGATTACTAAACCATATCTCTCAGTTAAATGAGCTGTTGTACAGCCTCTCGATGGTATGTAATATAAAGTAGATCACTAAACCTTATATCTCAGTAATTGGAGCTGTAGTACGGTCTTTGTCGATGGTATGTATATAAAGGTGATCGCGATATATATCTGTGAGATATATACATAAACACAAAAACTTACATCGAAAGGATATCATGACATTACCATTGGATTATCAATATTCGGCCAATGTTTGAGTCAAGAAAGACTATTTTGAGACCTGACAATACAATATCGTTAGTGATTTCGTCACCTCACGATCGTTGGTCTGCCTTTTGATAGCTTAGTTAAGAATAAAAATAACAGGAATCTTTATTGTAATAAAACATATATAATAAACCACTAAAGATTTGTTTTACAGTATGATTATTCATTGGTAAGTACTTGATAAATTGAGTTTCCAATGTAGTTAGGTTGTTATTCTTTGTTCGCCTGATTAAAGGGACTATATGGTTAGATATTCATTTCATAACTGATAAAAAGCATTATACCATTTTAATATCTGTTAAAAATAGTATACGTTCTGTTAATTATAATATTTTAAAGTTTACATAACCGTTTTATTAGCAACATCAAAAAGTTAAAATGAAACAGAAGCGACCGAACACTAATTCTTATTATCGTTCGGAGTGTGTAAACAGTGTCTTTGCGCATCCAATGTAGATTCAAATTAATTTTGATTAATTTACATCGCTCTGTTGTGCGTATAGCGTGAAACAAGAGGTACTTTTACAAAGTAATTATTGAAACATGGCTGGCAAATTACGTTTTGGCTAATTACATAATTGCACATCATAAGAAATCATAACAAAACGACAGGATTAAACTAAGTTCCGAAAGGTCACGTGATGAACTCGGCTATCTTCGATCAAAACAGCGTTTGGTGGTAGACACAGCAACGCGTGTCGACTAGCGTTAGTTTGAACATAATTTTTATCGGTTTTGTCAGAAAGTGTTATACTTTTGTGAAGAGTCTAATTTTAAGTATTACAATGCTTGCCCGAAATCAAATACATGTGGAAAATAAACGAAATCTAACCATTTAATCCCTTTAATAAAACCAACTTTATGAACAGTTCGTAACTGACCTTGTAGGCCCCAGTGTCAACGAGACTTTTGTAGCTGATGACAATGGCGAAGCTTGGCAAATCCGTATGAGAGAGGTGAGAATATTTGTTTTATTGAATTATATTGCTTATTGTTGTGAATCACAATTTTCTTTGCATTCTGTATATTTTAATGTCCACAGATCTTGCAAAAATATACAAATAATGATATCTCAACAAGTTTAAGCCTCATGATAACTCGTCATGCTTAGATGTTCCTTCTTAAACTTTTCCAACGCATAATAACATCTACACCATGTTAAAGTCAACACTGGAGAGGTGAGGGGCTATTATGTTGACAAGGTGGTGGTGATAGGGGGGAGTTGAAATTGATGTAATGGTGTAACGGTTGTAGCGATATCGCAGGTAAAAACGGTAATTTTCCAATTGATACACAAGAGTTTTAAAAGATTTGATATGTGCAACAAAACAAGCTCTTTTAACATCAGCACTTGTTTTGTTCCAAAATATTACATTTTTTCGAACATTGCACCAGTCTTGCACATTACTTGCCGTCCTGCACAGATGTACTGTAAAACATATTTTCGTAGTTTTACATACATTGAAAATATTACAGAAATCTGTTGGATGTTTTTGATGTTAATGTTTACAAATACTCCGTCTCCTTAAATATAGAATATGTATATATATAATTCTGATATAAATGAAACGTAATAATACTATTCTATATCTAACAGTCTAAGTTTCTGAGTTTAAATCAAACAGATATATATTCCTTTAGTTTTCATCGATCACAGATTGTTGACTATGTGATTAAAAGGAAAATTTATATATATTTTTACTATACCTTTGCTATGATGCAAGTTTTTACCTTTTTACAGATCCAGGGCAATCTCATCCTTGCATCTCTGACTCAGGTCATACTAGGCTGTACCGGAGTGATGGGGTTTTTGCTTAAGTTCATAGGCCCTCTGACTATCGCTCCCACTATCTCACTCATCGGTTTGTCACTGACAGGGGTAGCAAACGATTTTAACACTGTTCACTGGGGAATAGCCAGTCTGTAAGTATTTTACATTCAAATCAATTGTCGATGCAAAGAATGCATACTTTGTACCTTAACTTCAAAGCACGATGTTGTTTTCGTGAAACGACGATGAGAATGCCGCCGTGTGCAAACGATTGTTTCTTATGATAGAATAAATGTGATCAAAATAAGTTTCGTCCTAGTAAAGATCAAAGTGAGACAACTCGTAATGGCAGAGAAGAATTGAAGTAAACGTTGACATACATCTCGTAAAGGCTTTACATGTATGACGTTAAGTGTAAGAGATACTCTTTTTTATCTTGATGCTGTACAGTTGCCATGCATCAAAAGTACTATTTATTAACGGGGTATGATTTATCTATTTATTTGATTTTGCTTACTTTTTCTAATGTAATTTCAAATGACCTAGATGTATACAGATTGTTTTGATTCCCAATGTTTAAGGGAACGTCCAAGGGTACTTATGCAAGTGGAAACAATATATTATCACAAATCAGCTTAAAAGCACATTCTTGTTTTTCCGTTGTAGAACGTTTTGTCTCATCGCAATCTGTACACTTTTCCTTGCTCGAGTCCAAGTACCATTACCGTCGTTTTCGATAAAAAGGAAATTCCACATAACACGATTTCCCATCTTCCAGTTGCTGCCCGTATGTATATGTGATATTTTTAAGGAAGGAAAATTGTATGATTTATGTGGTTTTTTTTATAATACACAAATTGTATGATTTATGTGATTTTTATATTACACAAATTGTAATGATATTAAATAATGCTGACATGCTAAAGTCACAGCATGACCTGTGCGATTCCTTAAAGCTTTTTTTTTATGTTTTTTAATTTTTGTTTTTTGTTTTATTGCAATCAATTTGTTTGGATGTAAAAGAGAAAAAGTAACCACTTTGTATATGTTTACACTGCTTAGATGTCATAAGATGATTGAATTTGTCTTTCACATTGTCGTGATTAGAGTAATGTTGATGCAAACCGATCATCCTTTTGTCCCCGGCTGATTGATCGGTCAATGATGGTACGATAACAGTTTTGACACGCTGTTCTCTGTTAAAATACACTACTTACAATTTATTTACACATATTCGTTTCGCAAGAAAAGATAGAAATAAAAATTCTACTTGGAAGATATTTTCGTCTCGTTGAACATCTCATAAGCATTACGAAAACAGATCATCTCATTTTGGCAGCTTTTTAACTTGAAGTTTCATCGTTATCGCCTAGGTAATTATCAGCGTGTGTGTTGGATGGCTTTTGTGCTACATTCTGACCATTACGGATACCCTACCTAACGACAAGAATGCCAAGTCCTATTATGCTCGGACGGACTCCAGACTGGACGTTGTGTCCGGCATGCCTTGGTTCTATATTCCTTACCCTTGTAAGAATACATTTCGATGCAATACGCTATAAAAGTACATTTTCATTAACATCTACTTTAATTCTTTTTCTTCTATTCTACAAGGAGCCAGTCGGTTTTTCCTTCTTTCAATTCCCGTTGTTTTTTCTCAATTTAGATTTTTGTACATGGTGCATTGACGGTATTCATCTAAAATTTACAGTGTAATTATAACAGTTCTTAATACATGTTTACGTGACGATATTATATGCATGATCACTGCACCAATCATAAATTTTATAAACTGGCTTGTAGAATGGCTATAGTGTTCCTAATATATACATTTCGTGCTTTTTTAATACAATTCTTTTTTTCAAAATCACTTTAGAGTGAAAAACGCTATTTCCAGTATCACATGACACATGATTTCAACATTCGTTACAGTTATATTTGGGACTCCAACTGTGTCGGCCGCTGGTTATGTCGGAATGCTGGCTGCAACTCTCTCCTCCATTATTGAGTCGATAGGGGACTACTTTGCTGCAGCCAAAATCTCACACGGCACACCGCCTCCTCCTCATGCCATCAACAGGGGACTGGCAATGGAAGGCTTTTGTAGTGTGTTGTCAGGTCTAGTAGGTGCCGGGCATGCTACTACCTCCTACAGTTCCAACATTGGTGCTATTGGTATCACAAAGGTAAATTATGACATCAGATACGGAAATTTCGTGCAAAGAATTAGATTTCTTATCCTGATGATTTTGTTATAATCACATTGAACGACTTCTTTTAAGTTACGGTACGATGTCGCTTTGTTGTGATATGAAACAAGCATATGGGACAATAGACAAAACATATTGTCTTAACCTCTTACTTTAGAGACAGTTCAAACAGTGATTCATGAAGCTCCAATATCAGTTCAACTTATAATAGAGATGAGAGAATGTAACGGTGTAGCACATATGTCAACATGAATCACGATCAACAAAAAGGCTGACTTTAAACATTCCAACAAAAAGAATATTTTTGTTTCGTGTTAATGGATAACTCGAGTAGAATTGTTGATCTGTACATCTGATAAAATTTGTATTTCATTTCCCCCATCATTAATTGATTTCAGGTTGCAAGCAGACGAGTGTTCCAAGTAGCCGGTGTCATATTGGTGATTGGTGGAGTCATAGGTAAAATAGGAGCCATCTTGACGTTAATTCCGGATCCAATCATAGGTGGTATATTGACAGTAGTGTTCGGGATGGTTGCCATGGTTGGAATCTCCACGCTCCAGTTCACCGACATGTCTTCAACAAGGAACCTCACTATACTGGCCATATCCATCATTCTTGGCCTAATGGTGCCAGAATGGATTGCTAAAAACCCAAATGCAATACAAACAGGTGTGCACTAAGCTGTTTGCTGCCCTCAAATTTTGGCTACCACAAATTTAAAATCTGACATCGGCGATACGACTTATGAAGTCATTCACAGTTGTTATAATATATACATAAATAAATATTGTTTGTTATTCAGGAGAAACTTATTGTTATATAACAATAGATAAAGAACAAAAGAAACACATTACCACTGCACTGTATTTAAAACGTGTGTTAACAGTGGACAGCGGCTAGATATATATCATTGACTTGCATAAAGTTGAGTTATCATTATTCATACTTTTGTTGATTTGAACGGAAGAAAACTGATCAACTGAGGCTATTTTTTATTTAGAGCCTGACAAATAAGGTCAATGTTCACTAAATGCTATATACTATTATCAGCATTTTCTCTGAAGTTCCAATATCACAGTAGAAAGATCTACGTTTCCTCAGAAATCACATTCTTCAAATAAGCGTTTCTGTTCCTCCTTATTTCACTAGCACCTATTAACTCCATTTTGGATAATTTTATATAAGTTTGCTCACGGTCGTTTTGATAAAGATTATGGGAAAGTTTCACATTCGTCATAATGATCTCATTGGGAAATATTTCAATTTCTTTTGCGATATGATGTACGTGATGTTTGTAAGTGGTTCCATTTTTGTTTATTTTGGAAACTTGATGAATATTTATTTATTTATTCAAAGGGTTTTATGTCCACTGTTATTGCCTTTCGGCGGCCCATTATTTGCTTACTTGGATTGACTTGTGTTTATATAGCGGATATCGTAGACCAGAAGATGCATTCCCTTTCGAAACACCTGATCTTTTTCTCCTTGTACTTTTGTTCACGAATCTTCCTGTTAATATTTCGTTCGCTCGTATTTTCGCATAGTTGCTTTTTAGCTTTCTTTTGATATTCAAATATTTCCATTTCATCATAAAGAATACTATATATATATGTTTATTATGAATTTGTAGGTAATTCTGAGTTGGACCAAGTACTTAATGTACTTCTCGGCACCGCCATGTTTGTTGGAGGGTTTCTGGGTTGTTTACTTGATAATTTAGTCCCAGGTAAGTTCCTTAACTGTAAGGAAATTGAGCTGCTGAAATTAAATTATGGATTACACAATAATCAGTCTGAAATGTCGGGGAAATACAATATTGTCGTAGTTATTTTTAATTTTTGCGATGTATAATTAGTTGTCGCGTTTTAGTAGCCAAGCTGAGAAGAAATCATAGTAACTCTTTACGTTTTTGTAGGTTCCTCTGAGGAGCGTGGTATCAAGAAATGGCGGGAAAGCATGTATGATTCAAACGGCAAAGTGACAGAGAGCAATGTGCAGTATGACTTGCCATATGTTACTAAGTATATGAGGAAAGCTAAGTGTTTCTCCTTCATTCCTATTTGTCCCACATTTGAAGGGATGAGTGATAGTCTGAGATGTTACAAAAAGCGATCAAAGGGCGTTGAAATGACTGACAGAAAATCTTATCCAAGTGATGACCAATTTCCTCCCTCCAAATACACACCAGAAGATACTAAACTTTAATGCAAAGCTTTATTTGATTTTTATAAACTTTTTGACAGCTACTGAGAATATGTTTATCACTAATATTGAACCTTATTGTTTATGAGTGTAAGAAAACCATTATATCTTATTATCCAATTGAATATTTGGCCCTGCATTTATTCATGAAGAAGGACATAGTCATGTCGTTATAACTTACAAGCGGTCGTGGCATGATCAGAAATGGAGTGAACATATCGGTTATAGGACTTTATTCAAAGTAGTTTTAACAATGACATTGCAGAAAGTATACCATGGCGCTAGTTTAAGCAAAATTTATAAACTCATCAAGCTAGTTTGACGTTAGACACAAAATGGTCAATATAATTAGGTGCTACACGCCCACAATGAAACATATATACAATAACTTCTGTGTACTAAATGTATAAATGATACGTTATATATTCTGTCATCAATCAAATGTAATGTAAACCTGGTTATCATTTTACTGAAAACGTTGTCTTAATAAGATAGTGTACAATGTTTCCTGATTAAATTGTATATTTAGTTTGTGACTTAATGTTTGTTATTTGGTTAATTCATTTGTAGGGACACAGGATATATCAACAAAAGGTACATTATCAACTTTGTCAATAGTATAACTGATATTTTTGTTTGAAGAAAACGCAACACAGACACACATAGACATGTGACTGTCACGGTAGTACCAGTTATAACAATGATGTCACAGACAGTCACTATGACATGGAAGTGGAAGGACTTGGATTTTCATCCTGTCGACATGCACTCTTCAACATTGAGACTTAAAAGACTCGGGGTCCTGATAATGACGACAGTGTCATATATTGAGAAACGTGATGCACTGATAGCTGGGAAAGGATTTAAGATACGGCTTAAGTGAACAAACTTGGGTTGAACATTTTTATCCTTCCATTTGTTTCCTTTGGTTGCCATCTGCATGTATCCTCTTCCAGTGTCAATTGAACACAGATCATAGCACAACTCGGGGTTCTTATGGAGAGGCTATCCGCAGAATACTATTATCTCTCCCCACTGGCTGTCAAGCTTACCGATCCGGTATAGTGAAAGGAAGGGAAGTAACTGTTGGAGATAAGAATATTGTTATTAGATTGATCTATGAAGCATGGCTTGCATGGTGCTTGGTGTTACTTTAGCAAAATCGAGTTTTGAAGTTATTTTAATTAAAATGCAAAATTTGAGATATACAAAAATACCTTATGACCAATACTGATCCCAGTAGCATAGGGTAAACGTTCAGGTCAGCTACCGCAATACCATGTCATCCGACAGCAATGTCTTAAAATCAATACTAGTCTGAAACGGTCAAGCAGATTTTCATTAAATTTTGTCTGAAACATCTGTCTGCCCTCTGTAACGGGAGGTGTAAGAGAAAGTAGGGCAAATTGTTAAAATCTTTCCCCTTCTGAGTTATTCATTTAAGTGGAACGCCACCCCCCAGTGTTGTACAGTTCATAGTCGTGTAACTTATTTTGGGATACATGATATCAAGGCGATGAATCGTAACATTTAAAAAAATAATTCGAATAATTACATGTTAATAGAGGGAAAATAACTTGCCTCAGTGGTGGCTTCTAAAAAGTTAGCTTTTGTGTTTGTTCACTGCACCGTGAAGCAGTAAAACCCCCTCCTTTTACTCCTGTTCTTCTATGATGTCACTCTTACCTCCCAGCCGGTGGGGGTCGAGCTATCTATGATGTGAACTGACCAGTATATCAGAGCCTTTTTGTGAGAATTGAAGCTAATTTTCGTCACAAAAATATTACTAATGAATAAAAATTACGAACCCTAAATGTTCCATGAATCAATCAAATTACTCAGCTTCTCAATGTCATCTTCTTCGAGACGATTTTCTCTATATTTCGAGCAGAAAGTGGTATACAATATATTTGTATTTCATTTGTAAATAACATGCATCTTGTTTTTGCCTAATATGAAATGTTAACATCTTAATGTCACAAAAGTAAGCACATTGAATTTGAAAATTACTGAGCTTTCTTCTACTGTTATTGCCCTTTCATAGTCCTATACTACAGCCGAAGCTATCTTTGACACAATTGTATAGCAATACAACTGTACCTTGCAGACGAAGCTATATTATAATATCAATACAACAGATCACTACAGACGAAGCATATATTGTTTTACTTTCGTTATAATATTGACACAACAGATCACTACAGACGAAGCACATTTAGTACGTATGCCCTTAAAGCAACACAACAGTGCACTATTGACAATGCTGTTGTTAAAGAAACACAATATCGGTACTTGTCGTTTTATGTATTGTCCCGTCATGCTTTCTGTTAAGTGAACACTACTTTGAGCTTTACTCCTTTGTTTTCTGATATTTCTGAGTCACGAAGGCTCACAGAGCTTTCTGTGGTCGTGTCCATGCTATATTTATTGCTGTATATTTTGTAAGGGACAATAACACAAAAAATAAAGCAATATCAGACAAACGCCAGTGGCCGCGTAGGTGTCTGGCAATTACTTACCTGTCGACGCAGTTGGCTCAATAATAAAATTAAACTTGAAAATGCAAAATCAGGTCCTTGTCTCTTTAAAAAAACGTTTTACGCCTCGGTAAACATCTAATAAACAAATTATTCTCCGTGGGAGTCATACATGTATATAACAAACAGCTTAACTTTGACAGCAATCATATAATATTTCCCTTTTCTCTGATTTCAAGCTGTTAACTTGAGTTGTTCGAACTATTAAAGAAATAGCGACTGAAATCGGTAGTAAGTAGTAAAATTCACCAGCACGCCACCTGGTGTTTACAATATTATAGTACCGCGTTTGAGCAGACTCTTGAATAACGAAGTGGTATCAAGCGACTGGTTAAACAAGACAATCAATGTGTGTGTTATCCTTGCACACATTTCGTCGAACACGTGTTGTAGATGATCACAGTGTACAAAGGTGAGTTAAATTGTTTATATAGCTTGGCGTGTTTAGCGTTACTGCGGTTTACACAACACAAAGACGATTATACGTCTACACATATAACAGTACATGTAACAGGCGGGGATCACTCATTGATCATATCTCACAGTTCCACGTGGTAGACCTACATGCGCTAGCCGACACACAAGACAGTCTGTGCTTTTACACACACCATGTGCAATAAATTAACTTGTGCTTCATCAACTATATTCTCTCCAAACGATACACATGTTAAGTGTGTGATAGAGATAGGTGAAAGTCTTATCCTCACAAATATATCATCACTCTATAGCCACATATAACGCGATGTATGCGTAATCTAAAGGCACATTGTTACACATAGAACAAGGTTAAGTACATACCATACACATCAAAATCACGTCCAAAGACCCCGTCCTGATCCACATTTTGACCCTATCGGCTGTTAAGCATATCGCTTTATCGTCCTCTGGGCTATTCTCCAATGATTTCAGGAAAACGAAAGCGATGCTCCATTTCGCAGAATTTGCGACACAAAAAAGACCGCCAAACCTGATGAGGACCGAAACTCGGACTGTTGCTTGCTCCATACGCCTCTGCTTATCAAAATAAAATTTTGATCTGAAAAGCTGTATGTAATTTATTCTCAAAAATGATTCGCATATATTGTTGCTCTAAAACTAAACATTTCGATAATGATACATTACATTTTAAAAAGAGAATAATTTGCAGTCAATAATGTTTTTATATTTAGACGGCATATTGTTAGATAGATTGTCTAAATTGGGACAGAAAACGTAAGTGTTCTCGCATTTCGGTTAAAAATGAACAAAATAACAACATTGCTTTATAAATAAATCTATATCTAAGTCCGTGATAACGGTAAAGTAAAAAGTCCTTCACGAGAGAACACAGACAACTTATTTGATGACTGTATAACGTAAGTTTCGTTCGTATAAGTTCTGTATAATATAATTTGTCGCGATAATCAGTACACAAGCAAAACAACATTGGTTGTTCAATAGAAAATTAAATAGGACAATAACTGTGGGATATTGGAATGTAAGATATCTATCAGAAGGAAAGCATCCCTGATCTAGTTGATATAACTTCCAATGTGACATAGTTACATTCTCAATCTCAGCGTACAGCAAACTGCAAAACATTTTATATCAAGTTTGTCTTCTATCAATTGTCCTTGACCCCTAGACAAGTGATATGATCTTATCAATATTGATACCGGGTCGACATGGTTTATGTATGTCGGTGAACAGTCTGGTATTATTATAATAAAAACACGTTTCTTCACAAATAAGGAGATACTGATATGTCAACATAATCTTAATTCAAACTATGGAAAAACAGGATTAAAAGAAATATTTACATGGCGACCATGTCATCTGGTAGAGTAAGCGTCTTCTGCTTCATCGACGACATCCACCGTGTAAATCATCGTCATTCCAAGTAAATAATGTTGCGTTCCCAAATTAGAATAAGATAAGTAATAATGGAACCGTCAGACAAACTAACGAGCGTCAAATAGATCCATCTTCATATCGCACTAGGAAATAGTGTGTTTTCCAATTACATTACCGATAATTTACACTAATATGCATCGCTCAGAACTCTGTGTCGTACGTTTATCAGGCGCTGAAATCTTGTACAGAAACCGTGATATCGGGAGCAAGCCCTTGAATATCGAATCATGTAAACACATTAGGCTAAGGATGCAGGAAGGTTAGTTTTCAGAAATGGAAAATTCACTACACGGACATTGAAATTATCACGCTCTTCATACAGCTTGGAGGCAAAATATGCATGTTGGTATCATTGTAGGAAACGATCGAGATACGCATCTGATGTAGAAGAACGAGTTGTGTCTTCATTGCCGACTGTGGTCGGTATATACGATGGACGTGATCCTTAACTCTCTTGTTGTAAAAGAACAGATGTAATCAATCTGTCAAAATCTATAGAATATAATTTATTTTGAAGTAAATTGCTTTCATACATATGTTAACTTCATAATTGCATTGACTCAATGACATTACACTATAAGCTATCTGTCACCAGAGACATAAATAACACAGCTATTGGCTAATCCCACAGTGCTCGTAGAATCTCGCATGACTTTACTGTTTTCTAGAAGGAAATGTATAGGGCACGATATTTGGTGATGTCGGCATGTGAAGCGTAAATGATTTTTTTTCATCGGGGATATATCATATCGGTGTTGTCATTTTCAGTTCCTATATTAAACAACACAAGAGAAAGAGCTTACAGCTGCCATGTTAGCAAACTTTATCGGAGATTTGTCATATTGATATCTAGATTTCTAGTTTATTTTTTTTAAATTAACAAAACCTGTATTGATTTGAAGCCTAGAACGGCGGCACAAATCCCAATTACATAAGGGAGGCATGCCTTGCCGATACTAATGATTTAGTCAAATAATTATCATAACATTTAATCCCAAAAACAAATTTGATATTGAACGATGAATGAATTAGTAACGTAATAAATTCAGTCATAAGAATACCTGATATGAAGGCAAGATCTAATTTCACATAGCAACAGCCACGGTATGGATTGAGCGCTTTGATGAGCTACAAGCGACAGCTTGGCAATTGTAAAAACTACTTTATACTGAATTAACATTCTGATTTATAGTTTTCGTCATTATTTTACATGTATTATCTATAGGATATGATATACTACTCTGGTATTCTAGACAATTTAAACGATAAGCCTGTTTGATAGAAACCGGGTTATTTTCTCAACCTTTTCAAAGCGTCATTCGCAGCACTTCTGAACCAATTCTGTCATGTCATCACACCGGTTGCGTCATCCTTCCATTTTAGTATTGTTACAGTGCCATTCCCGCATCGTTCGTGTCTACTATTGAAAAGAAAACATCTATTTGTATGAAACATATTATACTAAATACTACATGTCCACAGAAAATATCTCGGTGATTATGGTTTTGTAGGAGTACATTTAGCTTAGGTAGATTAAAGCCATATCAAGAGACATGCAAGGTAAGATATAAAAGGGAAAGTTTGTATTTACATACATTATATATGTATACATTAAGATATACATTCACGGGTGATTGATCTGGTCGCCATTAGATTCCGTCATAACGTAATGACTACAATAAGTATAAAGTAATCAGAATAGGAATTGTGTGAAGTGAGGATAGTATTATCAAGCATTTTATTGTAAACATATGACGAGATATTTGGCGACAACATTTATTTAAGCTACAGTTCCAGAAACTTGTCTTTCTTTTCAATACGTTATGTATTTCCTTCTCTACTATTTCGCGATATTTCGATTTTCTTGGTTTATTCGGCAGGTTTGCTTGGTGAATTAATTCTTCAGACAGTCTCAGCAACTTTGTCTGTGTTTGAAAACTTAGATAACTATATTGAATTGCTTAATCACTTTTGCAAGTTTACTAAAACATGTTCATCTTTCCATCAATGCATTATTTCTACCCATCATGCATACATATCATTAAGAAAATATCAACATGTCAAGATAACCATAATCATAACTCAAACTCCATAACATATACGACAATGGAAGCAACAGACAAACTAACGAGCATCAAATACGTGAACATTCATATCGCACAAAGAAATAAAAAAATTCTCAGTGATATCATTTTGACGACCGTAAAACTCCCCTACAATTTTCATCAACATGTATCATTTGAACCCCTGTATTACGAGTTTGTCCATCAGTTGACGACTTCTTGCACAGTAATCATGATAATAGGAACAGACCATAGAATATCGAAATAACTGCGACATATAAACAACATAACCTTGGGATGCAGGGCAGTTTCTATCCAGAAATGGAAAATTCACATTAGGGAAACTGAAATTATGATGTTTAATATACAGCTTTGCGGAAAGATACCCATGTTGGTTTCGTTGTAGGAAAAGATTGAGATAAACGGCTGATGTAGAAGAGTTTGTCATGTCTTTGATTTCCAATTCTGGTCGAAGCGGTAAATAAATTTCTTGTTATTTAATGATAAAACGTCGTCAATGTATCTGAAAATGACATTAAACGACTTTGTAATGTCTTTGTAACCTGTTTTGATAAGTTCTTCAATAAAATCAACCTCGTTTCAAAACAAAAACGAGTCAGTCAGCAAATTTTACGTTTTTATATAGGGAGGTATTCTGACTAAGACAAATAAATCGGGGATGGATGGTCAGAACCCCTCAGACTTTATACTGCACATATCGCATTCATCAATAATAGAATCATACGGCATAATCTGAATATTCTGATGTTTAGCTAACATTCACTGATATCAGTATTTATAGTCCCTCAGTATATTTACTTTATTTACAGTATATTTAATCTGAAAACGATCGCTGGTGATATGCTATCCATAATTGTCTTCGTACACAATGAAGCATATGAAATTATTGTTTGGACAAATGATTATCAACAAAGTCATTTTAATTTATTTGCCTTTTCAGGATTTAAAGAATTCGCCGACAGATCTCTTAAATCCAAGCCAAAATAGTCAATTGATTTGAATGATCTCTGCTACTCATGTTATAAAATCCACAAGTTACAAAGTTTGCATCACGTCATTTGAAGATACCGATTGTAATCATGATACATGTTTTCTGATTAGAGCTGGTCATTGTTTATCTTTTATTTTTATTTGTTCTATGAATTAAATCGCACTCGGCAAAGCTTTTCTGTAAGTGCAAGTGCTTTGTGATTTCAAGAATACGAAGTTGAGAGACAACAAATAACTTCATTAAAGTAAAAATGTTATTTGATTGAAATGGATGCTTTTCATTTATTGCAGGATCAATACGTTTAGCTGTTAAGATAAAAATCACAGAATGACCCTCTCTCATCCTGACAAGGGCTGGTCCTGGGTCGTCCTGTTTGGAGCGTTTTGGGTCATGTTTGTAGAAGGAACATTTATTGGAACTTTAGGGATCATCCATCTGGCTCTGCTGGACAGATATGATGAGTCAATCATGAAAACATCAATGGCTGGTTCTCTCTTTGCCTTCATGAATACTTCTGGAGGTAAGAGGCTACTAGTGTTACACCATAATGGTATTTCCTGTCGCTAGTGATTGACACCAGGTAATGAGTTTGGTGGAAGGAACTTGCAACTGACTATGGGAACTAACTGCAACCATCTGTTGGCTGACTTGTTTTTTTTTTATACAAGGCTGAATTTATTGAAGAGCTTATCAAAACAGGTCACAAAGACCTAGCAAAGTCGTTTAATGTCAACTACAGATATATTGGTGACGTGTTGTCTGTATATAACAAGAATCTTATTGACCACGTTCATCGTATAAAGGACACGACATACTCTTCTGCATCAGCCATTTATCTCGATCTTTTTCTACAAAGAAGCCAACATGGACAGCTTTTCATCAAGCTGTACGATAAACGTGATTCCCAATTGTGAATTTTCCATTTCTGGATAGCAATATCCCTGTATATCCAACCTATGGTATTTATGTATCTCAGTTTATTCAATATTAAAAGGCTTGTTCCCATTATCACGAATTTCGTGCAAGAAGTCGTCAACTGACAGACAAACTCGTGACACAGAGTTTCCTAAGAAACAGGTTGATTATGGGGAAATTTTATGGTTGCCATAGTGATCTCGCTGAGAAATATACTATTCCTTCGTATGGTATGAAGTTTAACGTGTTTGATGCTCGTCAGTTTGCCTGTTGGTTCTGTTGTTGTACCTTATTTTCATTTGAGAAAAGTTATATTAAATACTTGGATTGACCAATGTTTGCATATCGGGCGTCGATGCTGAAACAGAAGACGTTTACTCTTCCGGAACACCTGGTAATATCATCCTTGTACTTTGTCAGGAGGCTCAGTCTAAATAATTCTGTTGTTCATATTTTGCCCTTTTTTATGGAATTTGAGTTTGGATAATGTTGCCATGTTGGTATTTTCTAGGCTTTTACTATCAGTCATTGCAAACAATTTAATTGACATACTCGAATATATCGTGTTCGCAACAGAATCACAATGAACAGAGTATTATTAATGTTCCTTGAAACAAATTGGATAATCACATAACGTGTGGAGCCGTCAATGTTTTAAGTTTCTGTCTGTTTGCTGTCTTTGTTTCAGTGACCAGATTTTCTGTTTAGTATTCTTGCCGATAAATGGAGCTGTCGTTGTCCGCCGTGTGAAATGTATATATTCCGCTATGTCGTAAAGCTTGCATGAATTTCAATCAAACATCAAATAGAACTGGTGTAAGGCAGACTCAATTTGTATAATTGAAGGTATTACGGCTTATAAAGATACCAGGCGTTGACTACCCATTAAGGAAAATCGGGATATTAGGCCTTAACTTTCTTTTCCTCCCTTATGCTTGGGCAGATTTAGAAGGGCCATCGTATTTGATATGGATATTATGACCCACAGGGGCTTAAATGTTAAGGGAAGTTTGGAAACAGGGCTTTAGAATTTAAGATCCTTTTTCAGGTATGCAGACATAGATTTTAAACTTGACCTGAAACATCATTAGGGTGAGGAGGGCAGTCATTTCCAATATTATGCTGGATTCTGCACTTTTATTTTTTCCGCTTAATATTTTATGAAGACCGTCTGCGTTATCTGTATATGAATAAACCCGTTTCTGATGCTTTCATTTTATGTTACAGTCACCTGGTTTCCAATGTATTACTCCGGTAGATGGGAAGCGCTTTCATAGTGCTAGATGCCTTGATGATTGTTTTCTTTATTAATAGGTATCTTATGCAGTACTTTGTCCAATAGATGGCAATGTCGGTGTGTTAAATGCCACGATTGTTTTCTGCATTAACAGATATTTTATGTAGTACTCTGGTCGATAGGTGGAGCTGTCGGTGTGTTTAATGTCCTGATAATTGTTTCTGTATGAACAGGTATTTTATGTAGTATTCTGGCCGATAGGTGGAGCTGTCGGTGTGTTTAATGTCGTGCTGATTGTTTTCTTTATTAACAGGTATCTTAAGTAGTATTATGGTCGATAGGTGGAGCTGTCGTTGTGTTACAGTGACGGGAGCATTCTTGTTTACTATCGGATTACTTATCTGTGCCTTACCAGTATCACTCGATACTATTACATTCTCCTTTGGTATACTGGCGGGTACGTATTGCGCTGCAGACAAATTACATTTTAAAAGGACAAAACAAAATACGAAATGTTCAAGAAAATGTTAGGATTATGTATTAAAAACTCTTAAGATTTACGTCTTATAAGAAGTCATTGCTGTTGAGATAAGGATATTTTATTGTATAATTTATAAACAAATGAAATGTTGTGTCATACACACGCAACTTGCACTGGGCTTTCTTTAGTTCTTCTGAAAATATTATATGTGAGGATTCATTGATTTATATATTAATTTTTCGAAATATACATAACATTTGTTTCAAATATCTCCATCAGGGATAGGATCCAGTTTGTCAAACACGACTGCTTTCATTGCTGTTGGATACAACTTCAAGCAACGGATGAATATAGCAAATGGCATCTCGACTTCTGGTATCGCTCTAGGATCTCTTGTGATGCCACCAGTTGTAGAAATACTAAGGTTACATTACGGAAACATTATGCTTTTTCTTATTCTTGGATGTCTGTCACTTCAGCAAGTTGTAATGGGCATGTTATATTTCCCTTCATTTCTCGAACATACTAGACAACGACGGTTGCACTTGGAGAAACACCAGCAGTCATCTTCTGTAAAATCTGTGTGTATAATCTGGTTGAAAATTTTGGAGAATGCTTCCTTTATATGTTTTACGAGTTACTTATGCTTGTTACAACTTGGCGCCTTCGTCATTTACTTACATCTTCCAACATTTGTATTAACCACTGGCTTCACTTCCATGGAGGCTTCGTATCTGTTGACATTAAAAGGAACATGTGCTTTTCTCGCGCGAATCTTGCTAGCAGCATTAGTAAACTCGGACAGCTACAACACAGAACTCACGACCTTGATGTTCGGAACCACCTCTTTCCTGGCATTGGCTAGCATTCTACTTCCGTTTTATGGGACGTCGTTTGCCGGACTGGTAATGTTTTGTATGATTTGTGGGTTTTACAGTGATTCTGTTTTCGGAATTCTAAACGCTTTGAATGCTTTTATTGTTGGACCGGACAATTTCGCAACAGCAACTGGAATGGAATTTGCAATGATGGGGATCGGAAGTTTTGTTGGACCAACCCTTGTAGGTGAGTTATCATCACTTAAACAGCATCCTAGTAGGATTTCCGGGTTCTTTTTTCTTTTTTTTATATATAACTCTATTTAAGTTAGAGTGACATTGCTGAGTAACTGAAATGTTTTTGTTCTTTAGGACAGGTGATTGACGTTGGAGGGACATATACCTTTTGCTTCAGTGTAACAGGTAGGTACCAGTTGGCCAATATTACTACATACGTTTGTAATACTTAGTACGATGTAAGAGGAATCTATATTTTTCTCTCCAGGTTGTTAAATGCTGAAGTATTTGTGATAGTGTTCCCCATAACTTTTGAAGTAGGAAAGTAAATCCAATTTGTTGTCAATTGATACTGTATCATATTGTAATTTTATGTGAGTTTCTAGTACCAAAACTACACCATACATAGGAGTGGAGGTTTAACTCCGACGTAACGATATGAAAACCGATATCACCCTGCCTCTCAAATAAATCGTATGCAATATCTCCAGCACACAAATTCATCAGTCGTTGTATTTTTATCATTAAATGCATCTTGTTAATTTTTCAGGAGGAATTCTTTTTTTAGCCGGATTTCTAAGTCTTGTATCCGGGTTACTGAGAACAACACGTCATCGAGATCACCTAAGAAATGGTGATCAAGTCTTTAATATGTGCATTCAAGACAGTTTATGTAAAGATGATGAAAACCTTCACAACCAAACACCTTTAAACAGCCAAATAACAACTATAGAAAACTGTTCAGCAGAAAATGGGAGTTTTGAAGAATGTCAACAGCTAAATCAGGTTTCAACGAATTTAAATCACGTAAAGGGATTTAGTACGGATTCGGTAACTAGTCTTACCTAATGTAAAGGATTTCTTTTTTATTGAGTATTCATCGTTTTGGAAAATAATTAATGCTCGAAATAATAATAATGTACGTTTTCTACGTTTGGTATTTTGTCTTTGTCAATTTTTTTATGGCGCTTACAGTAAGTTCATTTTTCTGTTGTTTTTTCATTGTTTGTTTTATGCTGATCGACCATTACACGCCTGTTCAATAATGTTCTTTGATTAAAAGTTTGCTGTAAGGATCCACAGCTTAAGATCTTCAGGATATCACAACCGGAATGTAAGGGTCTGGCTGATCAGCAAACCGCTTGACGAATGATGATGAACAATATCTTAAACATGAATTGTGATATCGGTGTCCACGAAACAGACCCTTGTTTGTTTACGTTTCCAGTATACAACAAAAGAGCAAGAACATAATAGTAGGTGCTATGAAAGGTATTTATCTGGCCATCATCAATGTCCATTGAAATAACGTTATTAACTTTCGGCATAGTTATGCTACATGAAATGACGGTGCTATTATATTTTGAGTAGTTTATAGAGCGTGTCAGCGATCATACATTACTACGTGTTATGCATTTACTAGCGCGAGTTATATAAAACAGATAGTTTCTCATATTCTGGACAATTATATCCTCGTTCTTAACCGGTCTGAGAATTCCTTGTCTTACCCTAAGACCGTGTCAGATTATTCCCCTGTCAGGACAATGTTATTGCGTCACATTTACTATTCACTGATGTCATAAAAAGGATTTAACCTATACCGACGATGCGAAACACTGTGGTGACAAAAATAGTACCTGATAAGTCCAGTAAAATGAAAGGAAATAATACTTTATCCCCATTTTGATGCGAGAGGGGAACTCAGTCCTCGGGAAAAATAATAAACAAGCCTCGTGTTTGCTAACTTAGTACTCTTTTTCCTCGGATGGAGACCCTCTAAATAAGCAAACACGAGACTTGTTTATTATCTTCCCGATGCCTTAGGTCCTCTATCGCACTAAAGAAAGAAAAAGAAAGATTTTATTATTCTGCTACCTGTATGAGTTTGAGATTGATTTGTGTCTGTCGAGCAGTCGAGGGGTGATATTCTTTTACAAATTTTCATTCGAGGCCAAGCCAAGAGTGAGGTATTACAGAACATAATTGTTATGTTAGATTCTAAACTATATCACTATGGTTTAAAAACAGGTAAACACCATATTAGCTATTTCTTGATAACGCCGTCTTTATTATAAAGTCATCTTGCAACAAATGCAGAGTAAAGGAACTAGATAGATAGGACGAGATAGAAAAATCTAGTCCAGAGAAAGCGGAAACATGTAAGTACCAATGGACTTTTTAGGCCAAAGATAGTCATGGTAAATGTTTCAATAGATTTAATGAATGGTAGAAAAACAGGGAATATATGGAAACAGCGTTTTGATCATTCTTTGAAAAAGGCATGCTGGCACTGGTGATTTCTCATCATTTGGAATAAATGATTTATTTTTCAAGGATATTTTCCTCCAACGAAACCAACGTAGACAGCTTTCCATCAAGCCATTTGATAAGCATGATGATTTCAATTTAACTGTTGTGAACTTTCCATATCTGGATTGCAAAACCTTGTATCCACATCCGGTGGTGTTTACATGATTATATATTCAAGGGCCTGTTTCCAAACAATGCAGGTTAATGAAAATTATGGGGAAGTCTCAAGGTCATCATTATGGTCCCATTGAGAAATATACTGTATGAAGCTAGTATACCTTGTGGTTCCGTTGTGGTATATATTGATGTCATTTGAAAACATGACATCATTTACTCGATTTACATGACTCAGGGACGATACCGATGGAGGCATGACCAGGTGCTTAGGGAAATGTCAGAAGTTCTCGAGGTGGAGAAGAAACGGAAGAGTCCGTAACGAAAGCACAAACCATCCTTCATCCGGTTTGTGAAAGCAGGGGATAAGGGCACCAGGACAACACCAGGCATCACAGGCATTCTAGGAGGGGCAGAGACATGGGAGATGAGAGTGAACCTGGGGAAAAAGTTGGTGTTTCCGGACGTGGTAAAAACAAGACTACGTCCTGATGTGGTGATATGGTCTGCCGAATCCTGGCAGATCGTAGTCATCGAGCTGACTGTACCCTGGGAAGAGCGATGTGACCAGGCCAACGAGAGAAAGAGATCCAAGTATGCAGACCTCGTGGAACAGTGTAGGGAACGAGGGTGGCGCACTTGGCTGTTCCCTTTGGAGGTCGGCTGTAGAGGGTTCCCGGCACGCTCAGTCTGGAAGACGTTTCAGGCTTTGGGTGTGGTCGGGAGGACACGAAAGATGGTGATGCGCAGACTAGCGGAGGCTGCGGAACGCGCATCATGCTGGCTGTGGAGCAGACGGGAGGAGAAAGACTGGAAGCCATCCATTGACAGGCAGTGAGTTGATCGGCACTGTCGACCCACCATCACGAGGACGTTCCGGGACAGGGGTTGAAACGTCCAGAGACTGATGGACCCGGCTGATGATGTCAATGGATTAGCAGTACTCCACCGACTGTATAGGTTCATAATGATGTCGTTGAAGAAGACTCTTACTCATCCTAATAACCTGGTTTTATTCCCCTTGTGTGAGAGGAGTATTTGTGTATTTCTTTTCTTTTGTTCATATTCTTTATTGAACTTATTCTCAATTGTCTTCACTTGTTTGTATTTTCTTCTTGTTTCCATTTTAGGTGTTACAAAATTAGTAAACAGAAGAGACAATGGTTAATTAAATATTCTCATTTAACGATAAAGGTAAGTACTATATCCCACATCATCACATAACAGCGGTAATGAAGATGATGAATTAGAAACATCTATCACTGAATTGTTATTTTCTCGCCCTTGATACATATGTTGCTTGTTTGTTTTCTAATGATTTAATGAGTTTTTATTCTGCTGTAGAATAAAATTTAGTATTTAGTTTAATTTACCTTTGTAATGTTCCAGTTTATATGCGTATAAACTTGTCGCCTCAGCCTTTTTTATAAATACGGTTACTTTGTCTATTTCTTTCATTGCTCTTCCAATGTTTATCATAAGGACGTATAGTAAAATATTTAGTTCTGCTGGATCTGACAATAAATAAGATTAATCAGAATAAGTTAATTTATTTCTAAATATTGCATTCTAATCAATCATTGTCCATTCTTTATAATATGGCATAAATATTATTAGTGAGTGGTCACTACAAACTGATCGACTTACAAAGACTTTTCAACAATTTATAGCGAGGACTAACAAAGTGGAACTGCTCTGAGCTATTCGTACCGATGAATAAGTTAACCAAATAACAGACTGCGGTGACGAGTAATTTGATCGATATTTAAATCATTATCCTTTCTATCACCTCTAAAATTACAACTTAGCAACAAAAAAATCAAAATATCCAAGATAAGATACATCCTCTCTGTGGTATCCAGGTGCTAAAAATTCCGGATAAAAGACACCAAATCGGAATACGTGAATTTGAAATCTGTGATTTGTGGTCATAACTCCTGCAAAATTTAGTGAAATCTAGTTACAATCAAGAGAAGAATCGTAGTAATCAGAAAAAAACATTGACATTGATGACGTTTTTAACCGAATTACGTCAGTAACTACGCCGTCAAAAATGTAGTCCACGAGTTAAATTTAGTCATTGATATAAATTTCCCTTTTTTCAAATTGTAAATACAACTATAGATTGAAATATATATAAAATGAGTCCAAGATATGTTTGAGTTCATTTTATATTTTACCTCCGGTCAAAACATCACAGGAGTGCATCCTAATAAATGCCCTCAAAACTTCCTACACTGTGATATTCCTTATTCAAACTGGATGATTAACAGGTCTGTGTTAATAAGTACATGGAAATGTGAGTCACACAATGTTAACAAGGGATGTCTTTGAAGTATCAATATTGGGTGTAAGAGTTGTAGAGGTCAGTGAATCAGAGCTTTTATTCAGAGATGTTATGTGTTTTTTTCTCTTTCAAGTTTTATTACCTTTAATAGCGCTTCATTGTCGATCCTTTCTCTGAATTGTTGGTCACCTTTTCTTGCTCTGGGACCTTGTAATGAAAAACGGAAAGTTAGTAGTACTGAAGCGCATGTACGTGAAGCCCATTACCAATATTCACCACTGGACCAGCGCGTCCATGGTTGATATGAGCATAATTTTAGAAAAACTCCCAGGAAAGGCGCAAGAGCTTCTGAAATACATGCGAGACATTAGACTCGCTGCAAGTAGGTCAACTGCTAACGAATGGTCGAAGTACGACGAGCAGTATCGCCTTAAGAAAACTCGGTACCCTAATTCATCATGGGGGTAATAGACAATGAACTGTGGCTACTTCATATGGCCAATAGGGGTCCCGTTCAAAAGGAAGTAACCCAGACTGTCAATCAGAACGATGGGGCACACATATTGGGGCGAACACACAGGAAGGTGACGGGAAATCCGGAAGTAATTTTCGTTCCCCATAGACTAAGGAATGTTGGAAGTTCAATAAGGGACAATGTCCGTACGGAACCCATTGCAAATTTAACCACGTGTGCGCAGTATGCGGGGGACAACACCCAAGAGCAAAATGCAAGAAATAGTACGTTCCGTAAAATACACTAGCATAGACGACGCTGTCAGTATGATACAAACACTGGGCCCTGGAGCTCTGCTTGGTAAATCAGATATAAAGTCTGCTTTTCCATTACTGCCAATATCACCAGGTGATTTTGACCTGTTAGGTTTTCAGGTTGAAGGTCTATTCTATTTTGACAAATGCCTACCTATGGGGGCTAATATAAGCTGTGCTTTGTTTGAAAAATTTGCAACATTCTTTGAATGGACAGTAAAACATAGCATGACACTACACGCAAGAACGGTACAACCATCCCTGCTTCATTATTTAGATGATTTTTTGTTTGGTGGTATGGCTAACACAACCCAATGTAAAGACACAATGACTGTATTTCATGACAACTGTTCTTTGCTGGGGATCCCCTTGGCGGAAGACAAAACAGTAGGCCCTTGTACAGTATTGACATCCCTAGGTGTAGAGTTTGACACTCTTACTATGGTCTTGAGACTTCCAGACGATAAGTTGACAAAGTTAAGGGTAGAGACAAAAAGAATACTGTCTCAGAAGGACGTTACGCTAAAGGAGCTACAGACACTGATAGGCTTGCTTAACTTTGCATGCCGGGTGAGAAGACCCGGTCGTGCTTTTTGTAGACGACTTATAGACGCCACTAAAGGGATTTAGCAAACCACACCATAGGTTGAGGGTGACTTTGGACATGAAAGAAGACTTGAAGGCTTGGTTAGGTTTCCTGAATGAATATAGTGGTGTAACTGTAATGCCCGATCAATTTTGGACAACGAATAGCTCCCTGGAATTATATACGGAGAGTGCAGGGGGCAGTGACAAAGGTTGTGGCTTGTACTTTAAAGGGCGTTGGGCATTTGCTCCCTGGCCTAATGAATGGAAAGGGACCCCAG